ACGAAAAATTTCATCACTATTTTGGTGTTCACATAAAAAAATTATGTAAACAACGCAAACAACTACTATAGAGGGTGTTTTTGTAAAGGATAAAAGTTTGGTGTAAAATTTTAATTTTCAAAAGATCCCAAATAATGAGATTTGGCCCAAATACTAGAAAAAACTAGTATTTGGGAATTTGGGATATTTGCCAAAAATATTTGTCAAATAATGACAAATTGTATAGACAAACACTATTTGCCAAATTTTTCCCCAAATATTATTTGGGAAATCTATTGCCAAATGGGTCCGAAAATTGTTGTTTGCTGTTTTCCTCTTAGATATACTTCCTTCCTTCCATTTTTATTTTTGGAAAAGTCTTTTTGACAAGAAAATTTTGGCCATAATTTGGCCAGAAGGGTAAAAAGATCTATTCACACTATAAACTAATTTCTTTTTAAACATTTTTACCTCTTTAACTTAAAAATTGAATATATTCTTGGGAACTCTTTCTTCCATCATGTTTCCAATATATTGAAAATAAGTAATGACATTAATTATTGATAATTTCATAGTCAATTATGTAAAAAGACTACAAATTCGACCAAAGAGAATATTAAGTGAAAAGAATTGTTTTCAAATTATGTTTTACAAAAAAATAATTGTGACATTAGTAGTAACAAAATATTTTTAAACTTTAATTATATACATCTTGGTGTTGTTTAGCCATGCATATTCCCAAATATATTTGGCAAAAAAATAGAAAATAGTGTTTGACCGGGTCTAATATGTTTTGAGTTATTATTTTTTAAATGTTTTACAAATTATGTTTGAAAATTATATATAGTTTAATTTTATTCAAAAATAATGATAAAAAAAATACTTAGAATTTGGATGTCATTTTAGTAACAAATATAAGTAAATTCTTAATTCATCAAATCAACGTAATATAGAGGATAAAACTTGTACGATTAATACTGTTAATGTTTGACTCTCTTTGGTTTGACATAGCAGGTCTAATGTTTTTTGAGTTGTCGTTATCCAATATTTTATAAATTAAATTTAAAAAATATTTAATTATATACTTTAATTTTATTTAAATAATAATTTAAAAAAATACTTATGTCATTTTAGTACAAATATAATTAATGATTCACAACTTATCAAATCGACGTAATATAGAGAAAAGACTTGTATAACTAATACTATTAATGTTTGACTCATTGGTTCGACATATATGGACTTTATGCATGGTTTCTATAATTATCGAGATTTACCAGGTCTAATATATTTTGAGTTGTTGTTATCTCAATATTTTACAAATTACATTTAAAAATTATTTAAATATATAGTTTAATTTTATTTAAACATAATGCTTAAGAAAATTACTTAATTGCAGGACATTTTAGTAACTAGTATAAGTCATGATTCACAATTTATCAAATCGACGTAATATAGGGAGAATACTTGTACAATCAATACTATTTATGTCTGATTCTCTTTGATTCGACATGTATGAGCTATAAGCATGATTTCTATAACTATCGGTATTACCAGGTCTAATATATTTTTAAGTTGTCGTTATCCCAATATTTTACAAATTATATTTAAAATTATTTGTTTATATAGCTTAATTTTATTAGAACATAATAATTAAAAAATACATAGTTGGAGGTCATTTTAGTAACAAGCATAAGTAATGATTCACAATTTATCAAATCGACGTAATATAGGATATACGACTCATTACTTATATTTTTTTTTATTAATATGACCTCTAATAAGTATTTAAATTATTATGTCTAAATAAATCAAAATTATGTATCTATATAATTTTATTATTATAAAAGATAATTTCCTATATTGTACTCCCCGAGTTTCGAACTTATCGTCACATTTCGCCTATTGAGAGTTAAAATTTGTGAATTTTGACTAATAATTTAGATATTTATTTTCATCAAATTAGTATGAGAAAGGTTGTAACTTGTAGTACTTTTACTATGTAAACTTTTTTATTTTTCTATCACATAAAAATTATTACACAAAAAAAATAATCAAAAAGTATTTGCGAAATTTATTATACAATGTATATTAGTAAGGAAAATTTTCAAATTATATATATATTAATATTGATAATAGAGTGTTTAAATTATTATAAAGAATCAAACTAATGAAAGCAAATGCAATATTGTATACTTATGAAGCAAATAATTAAGGGAAGTTTCTATAATTATCTTGAATGTAATTAACATATTTTAGAGCATTATGTCATATTTTTTAATATAAAAAATAATTATAACACGAAAAATTACTTTCTTGTTTTTTTTATTACATAATAGTAATTTAACTTTAAAAATTATTGCACGAAATTTATCTTTCTATATTTATCACATAAAATCATAAATTTTATTAAAAAAGATTTGTTATTGTCTGAAAAGAATAATCTTCAAAGTATATCATACAAAAATTATTTTATTTCTTTTAAAAAATATGATTATGAAATATAATATTCAAATGAGTATATTAGTGAAGAAAAAAAATAATCAAATTAATATTGATAATAGTGTATTAAATATACTATCAAGAAATTAAAATAAAGAAAACTAATGTAATATTGTATATTTCCAACAACTTTTGTGTTGCGAAGTTAGATATTAACAAATATTTTTTTATGTTTTTAATTTTAGAATTAGATGATTTATATATAATAGAAATAAATAAATGTTATTTTACAAGTTCAAAATTAGAAAATCATTGATAAAGTGTATTGAAAAATATCTTATGAAATTAGAATTTGTATAATAGAATTAGTTTTACACGTAATGGAAAAGAAAAGAGAAAAGATGAAGAAGAGGAATAAAAAAAGAGTGAAGTAGGAAGGATTAAAAAAGAACGAAGTTAGATTGTAATGGGTCCCACATTATAAAGTCCATTAAATAATTTCCTTCACACAATTAATCCATTAAACATAATAATGAATGTTCACACGTATGCTTAGAAGTTTAGGAAATTGTAGTAATAAATATTTGATTGCATTTTGAAAGGAAAAAAGGTTAAATTAGTCTTTTTACAATTCTAGCCAAATCATGACCACATAATTCTGGTTATTTAGCACTTCCCTTTATTTTTTTACCATGCTAAAAATAGTTGTTTTATAAAATATCCAGTTTGCAAAATCAAAAGATAATTAACATTTCTATGTTAATTTTACCCTTGTTATTAATAAACAGGGAAAATTATGCATTATAGCAAACTATTAATTCAAAATAAATGTTATATCTCTGGTTTCATTTAATTACAATTCGCAGCAAACACATTGTCATTCGCCCCTCCCCGAAATCTTGCTCGCCACTTTCAATTCTTTCCCTCGCCTCTCTCACTTTTATATAAACACAAATGTGTAAATTGTGTTTGTATAAAGCGAGAGAGACTATATATACAAACACAAATACATCTCTCAGTCCTATACACTTATTATTATACAAATACAATTCTTCTTTTGCCCAGTTCTATTTTGCCTTTCTCTCTCTCGCTTTATACAAATACAATGTATAATTTGTGTTTGTATAAAGCGAGAGAGATTTGATATACATATACAAATGTTTTAACTCAATTCAATTGTATACAAATTCAAATTTTACGCAGATATACAAAGGAAAAATTACTTGGATGAGTGCCTTTTAATAAATAATTACTAATTTTAGCGATACTTTTTATTTATTACCATTTATAGCAATACATATCAATACTATGTTAAATCTACAATATGTATTAAAAGTGAATTAAGTATGTAATTTATATGTATTATAACTGTTTTAAAAAATATATTATGCTTGTTTGGTAAGAAGTTGACACACCGTATTATAAGTGTATTAAAATGTGTGATAAATGTATTATCCATCAATAAAACTTGTATTATATGTGAATAATAAATTGTTCTTTGTAATATGTATTAAAACTGTATTATAAATGTATTAAAAGGGATCGAGTGACAAAAAAATGTTATTGCTATAAATGGTAAATATTTTTTATTTATAGCATATTTATGTAAGTTTCACTTATACAAACACGATCATTAATACACATCGTAGTTATATATATACAATTATCTAACCGATATACATATACAATTCACCTCTCTCGCTCGCCTCTCTCTCCTAATCTCGCTCACCACTCTAGCCTAACACAAAGAACATATACATATACAAACACAATTTTCATAAACACAAACTCCCGATTTAGACAAATCGTTGCGATTTATACAAATTAGATGCTCCATAGCAAACATAATTTGCTATGGAGCGCAAATAGCAAAACTATTGTTATAACACGTTTATATGATTTTTATGTTTACTATTCTTAAAATTTACTTTAAATAAATACTCCGTTCGTCCAACAAATAGTTGTACACTAGATTATTTTGGGATGTCCAACAATACTTGTCTACTTTATGAAATCAATAGATTATTTGCATTTAGTTTCTAATTTACCCTTATCATTAATTATAATTATTTTTCGATTATATTTTTAAGACATTGTATTATTTTATTCAAATGGTGATATAATAAAATGAGAAGTGTTAAATGACCAAAAAATTTGGTCAGAAAATTAAAAAAATTATAATATTTTTTTATTTTAAAACAAACTAATCATTTTTTTATTTTTTAGTTAAAAGGTATTAAACAAACTATAATATTACCCTTCTATTTATAATTTCTCAAAAACAGTATAAAGTTAATAATGAACAAATATTATTGGACACAAAAAGTAATAGTTAATATCTATCCATATTAATGAAACATTTGACCGAGAAAGATCATTACTCATCTCATTATGATAATATCTGGTTTTAACCTTTCATGTGCGTTACGACATTATTGATTATTCACCCCCAAACCAAAACAAATTCATTAATTCTTACTCTATTTACTACAAATAAAAAATTATTAGTTCGTCTCCTTCTTCTCCAAACATCAACGTTGCCACAAAAGCCTGTGTGAATCCAATTTGTCTGAAACCGAAATCCATTCTTCTTCATCACAGTTTCACATTAACAATGGTAGTCGAAGCTCATCAGCTTTTTCTTCCAAAACCCCCTTTCTCTTCTCCTTCTTTCCCTTCTCCACCACCCCATTTTTCTTCTTTCCTTTTTCACCCTTCTTCTCTCTCTTTAGCTCTCTTCCATTCCGATTCTTCTATCTCCCTCTACTCTTCTTTCTCTCCTTTCTCTATCTCTTCCTTTCCTCCTCCGCAAACCACCCTCCCTCCGCCCATATCCGCTGCCGCTTTCCTCCTCCTACGGAACCCTAATCCGATCACCCTCTTTCTCATCTCATCTCCTATTTCAGGAGGCTCCGCAGTTCTGCTCCGTTTCTATATCCTTAATTCTGCGAGGAAGTCTTTTACTCCGGCGAAAGTTGTATGCAATCACAGTGATTTCAAGTTTGATGAGAGTAAATTCGGGGTGGTTTTTGGGGTTTCTCATGGGGTCTCGGTGAAATTGGTTGCGGATGTTAATGTATTTGCGTTGTACTCTATTTCGAATGGTAAAGTTTGGGTTTTTGCTGTGAAACACCTGGGGGGTGAGGAGCTGAAATTAATGAAGTATGCGGTGATTGATTGTTCTCTGCCGGTGTTTTCCATTAGTGTATCTTTTGGGGTCCTGATTTTGGGGGAAGATAATGGGGTCAGGGTTTTCCCCCTGCGGCCATTGGTCAAAGGAAGAGTTAAGAAAGAGAGGGGTGCGAATAAGAAAAGTTTGAATGGTGGGTTAGAAAAAGATAAGATGGAGATTAAAAAGCTACCTTTACGAAATGGGATGATTCATGGTATTAATGCTGAGATTAGTGCTGCTGATGGTAGCAAATTGATGGAACTGAAGTTTCCTTCCAATGGTGTATTGGATGAAAGGGTCGAGAACCGCACTGAATCAGGTGCTGGAATACTTTCTGACTTTTCTGTCCATCCATAGCTTATTTAGAAGCTTGGCATTGAGACTCCCATGTTTTTTTTAAAAAAACTGTTCCATTGCTTTTATATTGCAATTATGTTTCTGGTGGTAAATGTAGTACTGTTAATTGCAAAATGACATGGATCACTCTATCCTGAATATGGGATCTGTACATGTATCTATTATATTACTCACATTTATACTGTGTTTGCTCCAGGATGTCTGTGTATGCTGTGTAATAACAAGACTTTGGTTGGTTTTTCGTGTACACATTGCTTGGATTAGTTTCTAAGTAGAAATAACTGCTTAGAAAGATCAAATAAAATGGATAGGCACTTATTATTCCCTTCCCTCCCTGTTGGAAAGACACATAACTCCACAAGTCGTGGGGTTTGAGATGCTAGATTGTCTTCAAAATAGTATGTTCTAGTATGTTAATTAAATGACACCCTATTAGAAAAGTCTGATACCAACAATGTCATGAGTGATCATCTTTAAGATTTAAGATTCTTGTCCTAGTCTTGTAGAAATTTGGATGTTAAGATGGCTGTGCAGATATACAAAATTTGTCAAAATTAGAGATTACCACATCTGTTAGAGAGAAATAATATCAACCGTACATGATAAAATAAGAGGTTATCTAAAATAGTTTAGTTATGTAGTACGAGATCTCTATATGCACTGATTCATAGTTGCAACAATATTGTGATTAGAAATGATAAAAGAGGACAAAGTAGATCTAAGAGCAAATGGAGAAAGGTTGGCTTGATATCCAATGGATCGGATTGAAGCAGATTTAGCTAAATATATATCTTTATGAAAGTATACCAACTAATTTTCATTTAGTTGTTGTACTTACATCATGCCAGGTGTTTGTGAAAGAGTCACCTTAATCTGGTTAGGTACTTGTTTATCCTTTTAGATAAGAGTTAGGTTGACACAGTGTCTAGTTTTAGAAAACTCATAATTTATATTAAAATGAAATGAACCTGAACAGAGAAGAATGGATTAAGTGGATTCTTATCGCTAAATGTCTTCTCAATCTATTTTTCAGGAGTAACTTCTCTTCTGCAAATAACAAGTATTGATCATTTTTCTGGTTTTCTTAGATTCCTGATTTATGTTAGAAATCAATAATGTATGGAGCTAATGTTCTCTTTTGTATCTACCACGTCTTCTTGATGCCATCAACTACTTACTTTATAGGTAAAAGAAAAAAAATTCTTATAGCAGACCCCAAATATTTTGGGATTGAGATGCAATTGATTGGCAGTCGTAAATGTGGCAGTATTTTGTTTGGCTTATCAAAAATGTGGCTTTAATGTATGTCGTGATTTTTCTAATACATGATATACTTCCTCCCTCCTCTTCCATTGTGGATATCTCTATTTTTTCCACTCTCCAAGATATACGGTTATTGTCTTGAACACTAAGTTCATCCTTGGTCAGAATTAAGAAAGGTATCATCGAAAGTGAAGATTCTAAATGAAGTAGAGCTTTCGTGGAAACAATTTGGTTTGGTTACAGTCTTGGGTTAGCATATTTATGTTGGGAATGATGGTGATGGTTTAATCTGATTTTACTGTTTACCTGCAGGCTGCATGGGCACTAAGTTGCATAGACGTTTAAAGTTATATATTTTTGAAAGTGATGAAAGGTTGAAGTAGTTATTTTGAAAGATGTTAAATCGACCTTGAGATAATGTGAAGTAGTGTTGGTTATATCTGCTTCAATTGTAGGAATTACTATGCAGAAAACTTCCATTGAATAATATTACTCATATTTTCTTAGAAGGATGAAAAAAGAAGGTAGGTCAAGCATTTTGGGTGGTGGGAGTTGATATGTTTAAAAAATCAACCAACAAGCCTAGCCAGTTTTCAATATTTGCTCTTATCCCCCATCTTATGTCAGACCCTGCTCAAAGAAAAATACTACAACACAAATATGACACCCGTGTTTAAAGACGTAGAATGCGGTGTGAACTCGTTAAGCTAATGACTGAATTGCAAACTTAGCACTAATTCCGTTCTTTGAATTTTGGTGCAGAACACTTGGCACTCCAATTCTTGTCCTTTGTTCCTCCTACTCTGTTTCTTTTGCCTTCTCAAAGATATGAATGCACGACAAGGCTCCTAGGAGATTGCCATATTTATTTCCAGTAAAACCTTTGTCCCTTAGTTGCTACTCGTTTCCCTGTCTGGCTCCATTAACATTTATTTGGGGTGGTTTTTGTCTTTAATCTTAGGAATAAGGCACAAGTACCACTCCGAACTATACCCGAAATCCCATGACACTCCTTAACTTTACGATGGTCCTAGTACCCCCCTAAACTCATTTTTAATGTATTTTTGTGTTCATTTTGTTCTGATGTATCACCGTTGTCCAGGTAAATGACGTGAGGTGTATACACATGCCTTTATTACACAAAAAGGGCCCCACTCCATTAACTTTACCAAAAATCTTTTAATTTTCCAAAAAAATAAATTCAAACCTCTCACCTTCTTGAGCCTCGACCTAAATCATAATTTTCGTTCTGGTACTTAATATGTAGGCTCCATTTTGGTACTTAGTGTAGTGTTCGATTTCAGGAGGAGAAAAAATGAGGTATTGATTTCATCAGGAGGAGAAAAAATGAAATTTCTAAAATCAGGACTAATAATTCGACATGGAAGGGGGTAAAGAAAAGGAATTTACACAAAATAAGCTTACCTTTTTGAATCAAGGAGAAATTTCAAGAAGTGTATTGATTTGGAGCCACCATTACTGGAGAATGAAGAAAGGGAAAATTGAAGATGAAAAGAATCAGCTTTTGAAGACAGGGTTTTCTTTTTCAACTTTCTCAATGATACTTGGCCAATTCTTATTGATTAGAGCTATCATACTAATGTTCCCATGCGCCTCAGATTAGTGTATTCACGCATGGTGCCACGTCAGCACAAAAATACCTAAAAAAATGATTTTTTTATTTTGAGGTGGGGGGGGGGGGGTGGGGGGAATAGGATCCTTGTAAGGTTTAGGTGTATCACTGGAATTTACGGTATAGTTTGGGGTGGTACTTGTGCCTTATTCCTTAATCTTATTACAATGATACCTTGGTTGTGTTTGCTATTGTAAAAATGTAATTTGACATCATTTAGGACTTCCTTTAAGTTTTCTGTGATTTCTTCGTCATGGTAAGATCTAGAAGCTCCAATTCTGTTGTTTCCTACAGCTGCTGATTGTGCATTCTAACTTGCAGCAAAGTTAAGGTCTGTGAGACTCAGACAAGATTCCAGAGAGGGTATTGCAAACTTTGTGGCATTCAAGAACAAGGATGATAATTTTGAATCGATCAAGATACCGGTTAAGTCAGCAAAATCTATTTGCATTCAGGCCTTATCTTCAACCAGGTTTCTGATCTTGGACTCTGAAGGAAATCTTCACCTCTTGTTCCTTGCAACTTCTGTTCATGGATCGGAGACTCCTTATAGCATGAAACAGTTGACTCACAACATGAAAGTTCGAAAGCTCACTGTTCTTCCGGATTCTTCTACAAGTATATTTCCATCCTTTTAAATTTAATAATATTGTGTTCATTTACTTTTTAAGGACATAATGCCGTGTTAATTTACTGATATCTTGCTTCAGAAATGTGTATAAAAAGTTGATGTCATAGAATATCAGCTTTCTCTGTTTTGTAATGCCATTGGCTGTCCTTTTCAGGAGCACAAACTGTTTGGATATCAGATGCACTTCATACTGTACACATGATTGCGGTGACTGACATGGATGCATCTGTTAATCAAACTGACTGCAAAGACGCTGCAGAGAAGCTTGTACAGACTTCAGGTACTGTTTTCCATGTATTAATTAGTATGTTCCTAATTTAGGAGAAACATTTAATATCATGAATAATGCATTTAATATTTCTGATTCAGTCACCCCTTAAAGTGACGACATGTAAATCCAAATATGCACTCAGTTCAAACTTCAGACGAGTTTTTTGCTTGTATGATAATACGTATCAGTGAAGAACATTCATTTATTTATTTTACGATTGTCATCCTTGTATTATCAGCTCCTTTGTTTTCCCATTGATAACTTGTACAATCCAAGTGGCATTTGGGAGGGTACATGGGTTAATTCCATTAGCCTCCCAAGGTGCTCATGACTATTGCCATATCAAAAGTGCCTTCAGAGTTCATTAATACTGTATTTGTCTTCCATCAGGTGATTGATAGTTTGGTTTCAGTGTGATGGTTTGGTTTTAATCTCCAATGGATCATATGGCCAGATAAATCCTGGTCTTCATTTTCTCCCCGAGTTTTTTGGATCCTATTTCAGCCTTTCAATTATTCCCTATGCTTATTCAAAATTGCAAATGTTCTTTTCGTTGAGGTTATTGCAAGTGAGATGATTAATTTCATTAAACATGATTGGCCTTCTATGATCACTGTTGATTTAACCCTTTATTATATGATTATATCACTTCTGATCTTCATCTGTAACATTAGAGTTATTAGGAACCCATTATTATATGATTATATTACTTCTGATCTTCATCTGTAACATTGGAGTTATTAGGCAATTTAAGTAAATTTTTTTTTTCTTCTTTTACATTTATGTAGTTGTGCAAGCAATATTTTCCAGTGAAAAGGTCCAAGAAATTGCAGCTTTGTCTGCGAATACAATATTGCTTCTTGGACAAGGTATGCACAACTAAAATTCTATATGGATCATGCATCCCTATGTCTTATCCTGCTAAACGGAAAGAGTCAAAGTTTAATCAACTTAGTTAGTGTGCTTATAAAAGGAGTATAGTGTCAATTTCGAAGTTAAAGTAACATGTTTGAGATCATCCAAGACAAGGTAATTCTTTCATGTATGCAAACTGCTTGCATTTATTTTGACCTTTTCAAATATTAGTTAATGACAACCCACTGTCTAAATTGTCGAGTCACAAAGCTGGAATGAAGCATTGGCCCCAGACATTGCAGTCATTGTTGGGAAAGAACTCTTTTTTTTAATAAAGAAGCCTCTTTTGATCGCACCCTCTGTTATTTGCAGGAAGCATGTTTGCATATGCAATTTCCTAGAGATGCTGAGTGGTTTTTTGTGGTTAGTGTGTCCTCCCCTTCATCAACATTTTTGTTCTACATACATTGGATTCTCTGACAAGTAAATTTCTTATGGGTGTCAGCCAGAAATTTTCTATAATGATTCTTTCCGCAAGATATTTTAGATGAGCATCTTTTCACATCAATATCAAATTATTTTGTTTCCTCGTGGGAAGAAATATTTCATGCTTTTTTCTTCATCTGAAAACACTTAAGAGTATATTATTGAAAGAACTTCCAGCACAAAGGCTGTGTTGGGGCCATATTTACAGATCAATAGTAAAACAAAAGAAATCCTTGATTTTCTTACAAGGATTCAATGATCAGATTTACTTTCTGTGTAAGGCTGTGTTTTCCGTCAAAACACAATGCTGGGATTGAACTCCAATGTCTCTTCTGCTTCGCTGTTCCTCCTATGTTGTTCTAGCACTCTAGGAGATCTATCCAGTGTACTTTGGCGTAGCTCATTTAATTCCTTTCGTACTGAAACAATTGCCACACCAGTGACTTCACAGTAAATGAAGACTTCATAGTGAATGAAAAGATGATTGATGGCCTCAGATTCCTTCCCACATAAAAAAACATCTAGAGCATTACTATTAACCCCTCCTTTTCAAATTTCCCTGTGTCAGGCATGCCTCTCTAACAACCAAACATACAAACAGGTTACCTTATATGATCTTTTAAGCTTTAACCCTCCAGATATGTTTTCAGGACCATATGCACTTTTCATTTGCTGTCGTACCCTGAAACTGCTCCCATACCTTAAAAATCTCAGCAACCCCATTCATTTTCTAGTCATGGAGTAGTCTTCTGAAGTTTAAGTTCCATCCCTGCTGTCCCAGACCTCATGGATTGTTGCATCAGGCGTCAGGACTAAGCTAAATAGGTCAGGATGTTGCTTCTTAATGTTTGTCTACCAACCCATTTGTCACTCCAGAAAGACATTTTCCTTCCACTCCCAAACTTGTAGTTTTCAGTAGCAGCAAAACTTGGTCAGTGTCGTCCTGATTATTTTCCAAACATAGCACCACAAGCTGTTGTGACTCTTTCTGATGCACCAATGACCCTCCTGTCCATACTTGACACTGATGACCCTTCTTCACAAGGCTTGATCTTCATGATTTTCAGTGGTTTATTGTGCTTTAAACATTAAATTTATGCACCCTTTATCTTTCGAAGATCTGGAAAGTAAACCTTTTCTCTTCCCCCCGCCCACCCTCCCCTCTTTTTTCTTTGCTGCATTGCAGGTCATTCATGTTTCACATTTGGATAGACAAGTAATGCCAATTGGGTGGTTTTGATGTTCTCCTGTGGGAGGAGTAAGTATATAAGCGATTTGTATATTTTAAACGTTCCTTCTTCAATTTTTAGAGCCTGGTCATGTTCATGTGTCTCACCTGGTTATTGTACTTCTTTTGTGGGTATTGAACAGTCTTTGTGCTGCAGTTGTCAATATCTATCAAGTGGTTCATAACAAGTGAAGGAGGCTGAGCTCTTGGAGTAAGGATCTTGATCTTTTTCTCATTATTTCTACTAGACGATAAACTTATTAGTATCAGAGAGAGATATAGTAAAAAGTTTGCTTAAGTTTTTAGCGTTCAGAAGTATTTTGTGAAAGACCAATTGAGAAATTGGATCTTTCAGAGGGTGCACTGTGTAACATACTCTATGTTCCCCTCGAATTGTTAACTATAACTATATAATGCTTCTACAAAATATTGATTGCATTGGAATGTTATAGTGCGATTATGCACTTTGAAATTGATAAATGCATTGTTTGTGAAGTATGTGTGTGTGGTGGTACGAGTGATGGATTGAACAGTTTTAAAGAATTACTAATTTTTTATAGTGGATCTAATCTGGTTTAGATTTCATTATTTCTTGGATAACTTGTGAAAAGGGTGAATAAATTGTGACATTTCAATAAGATCTTCAATTGTTGCGGTTGGACTAGAATTTGAGTCATTTGGTTTCTTATTTTAATTTCTTGAATATTATTTGACACACCAAATAATTAATGCAACAGTAGTAGGTTGTGTAAGAAACATAATGTCTCATATCGTGTTTTTATTGGCAGTGAAGCTATTTGGAGGATCTGACTAGTGGTTGTTGGGCGAGGTCAACTCTTTCAGCAATTGATGCCCGCTCTGCTGCATGGCTTCCATTACTGCAGAGATCTAAGTGCACTGTAATCATTGATGCCGCATATTCGATGATACAATTGTTGCATGTGTTCTTGGTCGTTGCTGCTGGAATTCTCAACATTGATGAGGGGGTACGAGACCAAGCATCCATGTTAAGATGTGTGGTAAGAGGGCTTCTGCCATTATATTGGTCTAATATTGGCTTGTTTTTGGGAATTTAGCTTCTGTCTGTAATAAGCTTGGTAGAATTATGCTTATGTTGGAGATGAGGTTATGGTTTTCTGATACCTAGACCTGCGAACTTAAGCTGTTATACTCGGTTATTAACCCCTCGTTACCAGACCATATTAGCCTTTTCACTATTGATTGTAATCGACAATCATCTCAAGGATGTCAAGTCAGTGCAGAACTATTTACTGCTATTATCTGGCTCTCTAGAGTGCTATAGATGCTGTTGAATATTAGATTTTTATTTTCACCATCTTCACTGCTGTCCTAAGTTCTGTACTCGTTTGCAGCTTAATTCAGATTTTACTTTTTTTCTGGCTGTCGATCATTGTTGACCAGACATTTACTGGTGTCGTATAGTATTTCAATACAAACTTTTTAAACTTGATTGGTCGTCTTTCAAACAGTTTTTGAAAGTTGAAGTTTGCCTTTTGGGGTTGGAGGCATTGGTTGAAACATGTTATGTATGTGAATAACCAAAACTAACTTTGTAGATTTCACTGCTGGGAAAATGAAGCTTAAACTGTAACTATCCATCATGTGGGGTTTACCCCCTTACAATGAAGAAAAAGTAATTTGAGGCTTTTGTTCTTTTTTTATCGGTTTGCAACTGTTTGAATTGTGGTCCGGGTGAAGATTCTTTAAACATCAATTCCTTGTCTGTCTTTTGGCCATAAACAACTGAACAAGTTTGGGTAAAATTAGGGACAGAAAATATAAAAGTTGGATCCCATTTCCACTCAAGATTTTGGAGCGTTAAATAAATGATTTCCTCTGGCTGGCACTAATAATTTTATATTATTTATCTATACATTAGAATCCATTGATTAAACATATTTGTTAAGGATGAAAGAAAACTGAATTTCTATCTTAAACTGCGAATGAAACCTACGTTGCATATATAGTTGAGACAAAAACTGACAGTGACTATGTATGTGCCCACGAGATGATGGACCTACATACTACTAGCCAGCCCCCATCATTATTACGAGGATGATCTTGACATCTTTTCACACCAAACTATTTCAATTTTAACTATTTCGACTCCAAAGAAATGATTTCTTATTACCACTTGCGTAAAAAAACAAAAATAAAAAATAATCAAATTTCATCCTATAATGAAATTATTCGCCTCTCTTTCCAACCCACATTGAAAATAACCCAACAGTGAGGAACAAATTTTTTATCCCCTCTCAAAAATCAGTAAGGACATGGTCACATGTCCTTATTTGAATGCAAATTTCATTGTAGTAAAAATATATGATTTTTTTTTTTGCATAATAAAGATCAAATTCTCTCTTTTTTGAACTTTTGAATGTAGCAAGGCGGGTATCTCCGTCTGTCTCTTTCAATGTTGGCTGCTTCTATTAACAAAGCTTAGCCAAGTTATTATTACCATGGATTTAAAATTAATTTTTTTTTGAATCGGGTGGCTGATAACATACCCAGTGTAATATCACAAGTGGGATCTGGAAAAGATAGTGCCCGTCCAGCCTTAACCCATCTTGTGAAGGTAGAGAGGTAGTTTATGATGGACTAACGGTGTGAGTTACATTTGATAACATTAGTTGAAATATCACATTCTTAAGATTTATTTCTCGATAAAATTTTCAACACCTTGGACGCTGAAAAAACTTGGTTGTAATACTTGAATGAGTATAATTGTTATTATGTCAGATACATTTGATAGCATTATTATGAAACAAGATTTCCAAATTGAATAGATGACATAGCTTTTTCAACTAGAATTGAACAAGAAGGTTAATAAAACCAATGTGCATGTCTTCATAGTTCAATTTCACAACCCCTTAATTGGAAATTGAACAATTGATCACTATATATATACTTAATATACCAAAATTTACCTACTCTGCTGCACTTAGTCACCAAACATCTCCTCCATTTTTTTGATGTAAAAATTAGACATTTCACTTGACTTCTGTTTGCAAATAAAACCCAAAAATATTTATCTGGCCCACTTTTTAGCTCATAATTTTTTCTTGTTTTTATTTATCAAAAATTTGTTTTCAAAAGAAGGGGTGTGGGTTGCTGTCAAATACAGGAAATTTAAATTTGAAATCTCTGAGGTTTAGTTTTTTGGAAGTTACTTGTTGAGCAGCTGTTCTTTTTAGCATCTTTTTTTTTTTTCCCTGATTCTGCAGGCAAAAGGCTTTTTGAAATTTATATATCTATCTTTATTACTTCCTTCTATTTAAAAAGTGAACAACTTTTTTTAGTCCAGACCAAAACTTCTTCAATCATGAAATTAGAAACTAGTATGACACAATCACCTATTGGAAATTCAAGAAGGCGCGGCGACGATGGAGATTTTAACCTTAGAGAATGGACTCTTAAGGCCAAAATTAGAAGAGAAAATACAAATTCAAGAAGATTTTCAGCTTCTTATATTAGAAGTTTTAGAGAAGATGCAAAATCTTTTAGATCAAATATTTCCATTTCTAGTACTGCTTCTTCCCCTGGCCACATCACCTTAAGAGGTAATAAAACTACTTCTCCCATTTTTCCTTCTCATGATTTGTTTTATTACTATTTTAATTTCTCATAATCTTTTTTACAGATGAAATTGACCCATCAACTTATTCTTTTACCACTGCCCTTAAAGGTAAGGCCTTTTATAATATCAAACGAATTCAGAATCTAGAGTCAGTAGGTTCGAATAAATTCATTTCTAACATTGTTCCATTTTTCAATATGACTGATTTTTGTTCTGTTTTTTTTTTTTTGAGTGTAGCATTGCAGGCAAAAACAACATATAGTTGGGAATACATGTCACCAGATGGATTGGCTTTAAACTCGAAGTGGAATGAAGCTGAGAAATATATATGCAATCCTTTATCAGGGGAAGTTCCATTAGAATGTTTATCTGCAAAAACACTAAGTGGGAGATCGTTTCGACAATTAACCATGTCTGCACCTTTGATTTATCCTTCACAATATCAGACTAAACAATTCCGTCCAAAACCTCCTACAAAAGTAGTACCTCATTTGCCTCCACATGAACTACAAATCCAAATTCCAACCAAAGGTATACTGATAGCGTAAATCTCTTTTTATTAATACTGACAACATATATAACTATTATTTTCATCTCATATTGTCATGACTTGTACATTTTTATCAATTTAGAGAAGGTTAGCATTACAAGAGATGTGGGAACACAGAGTAGTACTCCAGGCAATTACTTAAGTTCAAAGAGTCCAAGTCCTGCTCGTACTCCATCCATTGAGGAAAGATCAACAAAACGTTGTGTAGCTGATGATTCACCTATGACTACTCCTGAAATCAAATCTCAGGAAAAGGTAAAACATGAATGCTAAATCCTGTTCCCACTAGTTATTATTATGATGTTAAAATTACGAGTGCACTGATGAGTGGCAGAGTCAGAATTTTCATTAAAAACGCGCTCAAAGTGTAAATTGGAATTGAGGCAAGCGTATTAATTACTTATAAACTGCTACAAATTAAAATAGACTGATATTAGAAAAAAAGTTTTACATTAGCTTATTGTGGCGTGGAGACTAGATTGTCACTAGGTCGCATGAAGTGCTATACTTGAAGTACTAATTCTACTAGGTAGGTGAAATGGCTTTAAATACTAATTTATTTTTTTTAGTCCGTCTCAAAAAAAAAATATTTTTTATTATGGTAAAAAATTAATTTTAAAATATTTATTTTAATTTATAGCCGCATAAACACTATGACTCATTTTAAATCACAAATTTCAAAAATATTCCTTTCTTAAATTTCATGTCAAATCAAACTACGAAATACGAAATGCAGTACTAATACAATTGGTCCCAAAAGCATATCGTTCAGCATTAAGTACCCCATGCACATGCAGAAATCATATCACTTGCATATATTTTGTGGTCACTTCTTGCAACGACTGACACGTCCTACCTTTCACTATCCACCCCTCCTCCCCCCCCTCCCTTTTTTTTTTTTGTAGTTCCATTGTTACTAGAAATGGTTATACAAATTGTGGTAGTAGGGAAAGAAAGTCACTTTAGGAAGCCAAAAATGCTATATATGCTCTTTCCACATAAAAGATTCTTTAGGAATTGTCATCTTCTCAACTGCTACTTCTCAATAATTCATGCAACAAAAGTTCCTTTCGACTTCCATATCAACACCTCCCCTTCAAATTGGATTTTACTATATATGTATTCTATTTTCAAGTACCTTGTGAGTTCTAGCCAAGGACAAATTTAATGGATAAAATATAGTCACGTGAATTCGTGGTTTTTCTATAAAACTAGCTAGATATTTTATGTATACAATTTTTAAGATTGATATAATATTATCTGATGACACTCATACTACAAGATTAGCAAATGGTGCACTATATAAGTGACCGGTGCACTAATATTCTAGAAATTCTAGATTCGTCTGACATTTGAATATTGTGTATATATTTAATAGGTGGAAGTGAAAGAAACAAGAGGGAAAGAAGACGCAAAAAGAAATGAGGAACAGCTGGAGCTGGAAGGTGAGAGAAATAATAATAATAATAATAATAATAAGCAGGAGCAGAAGAGTACTAAATGCAGCAGGCAAGGATGCTTGTCATGGAGGCCAAGATTGTGCATGAGACAAAAGCAGAAAGAGAAAAAACATAGTAAATCAATAAAGAAGAAGAAGAAGAACATCTTTCTTTGCCATGATATAAATGGATGCTAAATCAATATTACTTGTCTCTTCTCTATATATTTCTCTCTTCTTTCTTAGAAGATAGTACAACAAAATCTAGCTATGAGAGAAATTAAAGTGCAATCATGAAGAATGCCATCAGAACTGAATATATATACTCCATATGTTCTCTAAAGATTCTTTTGCCTTCTAGTTATAGCTATATATGTACTTTTCCTTGTAACACTTTACATTCATCCGTTTGAATCTGTTTATCCTAAAAAAAAATTAGTTCGTTTAAAAAAAATGTCTCTTTTCTTATTCTATTTTTTAAGAGCAACTATTTATAATCAATTTAAGCCAAGAAGATCCAGTGTGTTGTAAACTAGAAAATAAATATGAACAGAAGTACGCTTATATGTAACCCAAAATATTTTGAGCTGATGAACAGTAACACTTGAGTATCACGTGGTTCCGTTTGAAACAAAAAAATCTATGTGCTATATGGCGGATTCAGGATTTTCATTAGGGGGTTGGAAAAAAAAATAGTGCTTAAGATTTGAATTTGGAACCTCAAGGTGAGTTTTGAACCTCTCAACCATAGCTCTAATCTTATATTTAAGAGGTTCAAAATCAATATAGACATAAAAAAAAATTAAAATATTTTATACATACAATATAATTTTTTGCCAGGAGGTTCGTCTAACCCTCAACTACCTCTAGGTCCACCCCTGACTATATGGCAGGGAGTGCCTACGGATCGAAGAATCTATTCAAACATATATACTGTTGAAAACTTTACCATGCATGTCCAAAATTGTAAGCTTCCTCAGTAATATTGTGAAACTTGATAAGTATTATTGCTTGCAACCGTCCTATATTTTGAAAGAGAAAAAAGGCCTTGATTTTAGAATGTTTATGTTGACAAGGCTTTTTGTTTTCGCCGAGAGTCTATAGCAAATATGATTTTATATCCCATAAAGATAAAGATATTAACATCAACATAACTAAATGAGCAACTTACAAAAATAACTATATTTATAGGGTTAATAAATACCAATAGCTATAAGTATGTTATTTACAATAAATGACTACAATTTATATCACTTTTTTGCTATATTTTTGTATCGTTTTTTATTTTTTTTATTTATACATTAATACATTTTTAAGTACAACAAACTAAATAAGGAATTGACTCTAAATATAACTCATTATCCTTACATTACGTCCATACAATGAGCAACTTCCCATAATTAACTTTATAACTAAAAATTACTTATTTAAATACATATCAGGTCATATTCTTTATCAGTTTAACAAAAATTGTGATACGTCATACTCAATTTTCTTGTTGTCTCCATATTTCTTATTCTGGCATTGTAAAGGTATTAATAATTTTTTTTTGTTAATTCAAGTTATTGTATGTAAGCAAATTGTTGAATTTGTGAATGAAGGTTAAGTATTTCGATTTTGAATAGGTGAACTACATAACAATAGATACACCAGTTGTTAAACAAAAAATGAATACACCAATATGGAATACAATGAATACATTGTTGTTAAACGCAAAAATGAATACGTTGGATACAACTATACTTGTATTCCCTAATCAATTTTTTATCTTGGATATAGTACTTATCTATCTAGATATAACTGTATTCACAAATCAACATTTCAACTTGTGCTTATATAACAATACAAGTATCTATGTATATAAATATGGATACATTTCAACACTATTGTTAAGCAAAAATATGGATACATTAGACAAACGAGCAAAAAAGATACAATTTGTGGATATCAAACTATATAAGTATGGATACATTAGACAAACGAGCAAAAAAGATACAATTTGTGGGTATCAAACTATATAAGTATTCTTGTAAATAAAATTTTGAAAAGGCCAACAATATAGTATTGATGTATCCAACTATACTTGAATTCCTTAATCAACTTTTTAAATTTGACAGAGTACTTATGTATTCAAATATAATTGTATTCACAGATCAACAGTTCAACAGTTCAACTTGTGGTTATATAATAATACAAATGTCTATGTATACAAGTATTCTACTATATACAAAATTGACAATCAAAGAACCCTCAATCTCATTTTTGTTCATGTTCTTCTTGTACTCATTTTTTAACAACTATATACATACGAAATCAAATTTTCTGACAATTTCAATAGAAGCGGACAATGGCACACAATACATGTGTTGAGATAGATAAGTAAATGGCATTAAACTAAAAAAAATAAAGCATACAAATCTCAATTTCATTTTCCTCTTGTTCCTGCTCGACTGCTCTTTTTCAACACCCACTTGAATCAATATTGTTGACTTTTCTCCTTTTTTCAAGATTAGTTTTCACTTTTGAACCTTTTTTCCTCTTTACTAATTTTGCATGCTCGATTTCTTCAAGCAGATTTAAGGGTATATGGTCATTAACCTTTTTTGTTCTTCTTCCGTTCTCCATTGCAACAATAGAGCCTGGATTTTTGGCTTATTGTTGAGTAATACACAAATCAAAAGAAGGTAGTTCATCCAACAATTTGTCAAATAAATGTATACCTCTAGTAATCCTCCTCGGAGTATCAATTTCAGCCATTGAAATTGATAAACAAATTCTTGAATCAAAACCCTATGAAAATAGTAGAAAGTGTAGATGTGTAGATATATAATGCTCATAAAAACGAGATAAATATGCAATTAGAAGATACTTGATGGATACAAAATCACAAAAATCGCTCCTGCAGTGATGTAAAGGATCTTGAATTTGAATGAATTTGGAGGAAAAAATCAGAAAATATGTGATGTATGAATATTGATGAAAGAAAAATTTGATGATGGTAAACATGTGAAAAGATCATAAATGTGTCTGCCATAATTAATTAGGCAATTAATAATTACTTTCCTATTTAATATTTATTTATTATATTAAAATTATAAATTTTATTTATTTATTTGTATATAATTCACTTTGCTATTTATAGTCTAATTATATCCATATAACATGAAAAAAAAATAAAGCATAGCTATTTTTCTTGAATATATATGGATATTTGTCATATTTTGAAGTTTTTCCTAATTAAAGAGCCACCCCTCTTATATAATGCAAATTGATGGAAACATATATTCAGGTCTATGTGATATTTGTTGGATTTCGAAAGTCCAAGAAAAAAAAAAATTAATTTGTTTTTAAAAAAATTAACTTTTAACCTAATTTACAAATCTATAAATTTTATTCAAAAACAATTTAAAATTTTCATATCCGAAATTCAGAACCACCAAAAGAAAAGGAAGAAAATGTTTTTTTTTTTTTTTGCTGAACAAGAAAATGTTATATATGCACCTAAGAAACTTTTTTTTTCAAGATATTTGATTTTGTGGCCCTTTATAAATTTCTTTACTAGATTTAGTGGGACCCACCCAAGATCCAATTAGTGGATATGGGAGTTTTTAACTACACTTGGCAAAGTTTTAGTGGGACAATTGAGATAAGGTACAATTTCATTTGGATCTTTCTAAGTCTTTAATTTGTAAGTACATCTTATCTTTAATTTAGAGCCAATTTTATCTTCTAAATAATCCCAGCATTAAATGGAACTGAGACCGCTGGTACGTATTTAGCTCTTCCAGTTCTTCTATTAAGGTCATATACGTTATATAACTGTCTTGTATTATTAATTATATACACCCCAACAAAAACATTCATGATCCTTTTTTTTTTTTTTTATCGTAAACTAAAGTCTCTACAGAAAACAGTCTTTTTAACTTACAAAGGTACGGCTAAGGACAGACCACGTATGGGACTATATTGTATATGTTGTTGTATGAGGTGTGGCTTTGTTGGGTTTAATGATCTATTTTTGTTGTTCTATATTATCCATGTTTCGTTGCAATATATAGTTATGTAAGTTGTATCAACAGGTCAAAATAAGGTGCTTACCCTGCTCTAATACGCTGATAGTGTAAAAATTATTTAAATTGTCAGTATATAATTGGAGAATATGTATGCAATAAACTCAGTTACATTAATATATAGTAACTTGCATGCCAATGATTATAGAATGTTTCCACTAGCTTTTTCAAGTGCTTCAAATTAAACGGCTGGTGAATTCCCAAATGTTGTCTGTGTTTCCAAAGTCCAAACAACATAAATTGATATTTTCATAAGCTAAATATATAGCCTCTGAAAGGATAAATTACTATGTCAGAACAAACCATATATATATAAAACAAAAGTGCATTTGATCCTGACAGAACTCTTATTCTTTTTGCAGAAGTATATCAGCTTGTCTAAAATGTGTTAAGAGTTGTACAATGCAAGAGAGGTGACGTTTCCTCAATTAACAAAGCCAAGTTCACTAGCATGAAGTATGTAAAGGAGTCAGTATAGTGCTTTATAAAGCATAATGGTCTGTACTACAGTATCATTAGGAAAAGTTCATAGCATGGGATGCATTCCACAAAAGGTTGTGCCTAAATTAAGCCATGTATATAAGGAGGAAGATAACAGAATGTTTCCTCGTGTATCCCAGCTTTCGCGTAGTTCTCAGAGAAGAATGTTTTGGACAGTGAAATCTTCATTGAGTAATAAGGAGAAGCAACTGAGAGCCTTAGATTCCTACTTCCAAAAGCTTCATGATAGCACGGGAGCTTCATCTTCGATTGAGATAGAAAAACTAACAGGCAAAAATTATCGACCTAAAGCAGAGAAGGCACTGCGATCTTTGGATTACTTTCGTGGTAAGAACTGCTAGTTGATGGACTAACTTTATATCAGTTTATTTGTTGTGACCTTCAAGGTGATATATAGTTTTTTATGCTTAATTCTGGTGCAGAGCCAAAATTCCATACATTTTCAGCTTCTGACGAGAATACAATTGAAGAAGCATCATATTTTTCCATGAAAATGATCAACAGAGGTGGCAGGGCTAAGAAACTAGAACAGTACATGAAGTTAAAAGCTAAAGATATTGAGAGTTCGAACGAAGAATCATCTAGTTTTTACATGATGTAAGACATTAAAATTTTGCAACTGCTTCTTCAGTAATGCACATTTCTAACCTTGTACCATTTCTTATGTCTTTTGCCTATGTTGATGCAGAGGAATACTGGCTTCTATTAACATTGCAGTATTCCTGTTCGAGACAGCTAGTCCAGTCAGGAACTCGGAAGTAGGGATGTTGTCACTACCAATGGTATATGGCGCGAAGATAAATCATTTGATCCTACTTGGTGAATGGTGGAGGCTTCTAACACCGATGTTTCTGGTACAAGATTGAAAATTGGTTCGTCCTTACATGATTAATTGTATGGAAATACAATAAGTTTATTGTAGCATTGTATATATGGTTATTGTTGAGAACAGAACAGATAGATTAGTTAGTAAGAGTTTTAAGTTTATATACTGACAATATAAATGTTTTTTATAATATCAGGTCATTTAAAAGATAATTACAGATAACTACAAGTAATACTCGATAGCTTGTTAAATTAATGTAAATGTAAGCGGATATAAGCAAATCCAATTAATTTGATTGTTGATCTGCTATGTTGCAGCACTCAGGAGTCCTTCACATAGCCCTTGGTTGTTGGATGCTTCTAAGTTTTGGGCCTCAAGTATGTAAAGCATATGGTTCATTTCCATTTTTCCTGATATATGTTCTTGGCGGAATTTCTGGTAACCTCATCAGTTTTCTTCACACCGCGGAGCCAACTGTTGGAGGAACTGTAAGTTGTCTTGTCATGTTCAGAAACTTGGAGTTGAAGCATGTAGATATATATCATAGAGTGTTATTTGATCAACTCTGTCACATTCTTAGGGACCTGCTTTTGCTCTAATAGGAGCTTGGTTCATTTATCAAGTCCAGAACAAAGATATGCCAGGAAAAGAAGCTTCTAAAAGCATGATTGAAAAGGCGATAATAGCAACTGCTATCAGCTTTGTTCTAAGCAACTTTGGGCCTATAGATGACTGGTTAGTACTTATTATAATTAAAGGGAGAAGAAAAAGTTTTCCACAATAACTTAACCAAGAAATTGACAATGTTTGTGATGTATGCAGGGCACATTTTGGAGCAACATTGATGGGAATAGCATATGGTTATCTTATATGTCCATGTCCTCAAGTGGAAAATATTGCATCTTCAGAAAGTGGTCAAAAAGAAGGAATCACACTTGTTAAACAATATTCAGATCCTTGTAAATCCCTTATTTACTTCTCAGTCTTTATTCTGCTGTTTGCTTCTTTGCTTATGGTAATAGAACCTCCTCTCAACACAATAGCTGGAGCTGGAGACAAGTCCTATATAGGCTGAAACAGGGTGCTTAAAACCCTATACCTTTATACATATATAGGTGTGTTATATACAGATTTTGAATAAATAAGCTTTACAACAACAAAAAAAGAAACTACTGTTGATCTCTGCAAATTTCTATATATTTGCCCGACTAATTTGGATTCACAGCAAAACCCTTTCTATCAAGAAGGTTCGAATCCGAGCCCCTATGTTAAGAGTGAGCGATCAAACACATATTATGTTTTACGCCTTTTATAAAAGTTAATTAGTCTGAGAGGAAGAAAAGGGTCATTTGCAGTTTTTCACCTATTTTGTGTGTTTCTTTAATTTATTTCCGTGGAAACAAATAATTTTTTTGGGGACATAAGTATAGTTAACATAGCTTAATACTCCCCGTCTGTCCCTAATTACTTGTTAAGTCTTTCTTTTTTGTCCCTAATTACTTGTTCATTTTGACAAATCAAGAAAGGATAATTTTTTTTACTTATTATATTCTCAATTAATTACTTTGAAAAAGGTAAAACTTCTTTAAAATCTGAAGTTTTAATTCATCCACTTCATAATTAATAGGGATAAAATAAAAAACTTGCTTTGTTAATCATTATTTTTTTAATAGATGTGTCAATTCAGTTATGTTTAAATATAATTTCAGTTTCTAGAGGACTACTCCACTAAACATAAATCGTTTATTTTTAAAATACAAAAATTAAAGTCGAGGAAAAAAAAAAAAATCATAAATAGCAAAAAGATTAAAATTAATAAGTACAATTTACCTAAAATGCAAGCCCACCAGCGTTATTGTTATCAAATTTTTGTGACACCTGTAAAGGGTGACAATGGAGTCCTCGTGAAGCAACCACGTATCCAACAATACTCAACGGAAAAGGACATCTAATACTGCAAATAAAATTGGTGGAACTTTGATTCTGAGCAGCAGAAGTTAAGTTAAATCAATTAATGGCGGTGGGAAGAGGTGGCAGAACCTTTATGGGACCATTGTTGGTCATAAACTTAGTAGTTTATTTAATAGTACTAGGACTTGCTGGCTGGTCACTTGACAAATACATTGATGGCGAACAGAATCATCCTCGTATGTCACCTCATCTCTTTAAATTTATTTCTTCATAAAATAAGAATGTGTTTTGAGTTTTGTTTAATTGTATTGCTGGTGTTTGTGAAATGTGTTAAAACAGATTTAGGTGGGAATCCATCAACAAGTTTTATGTTGATTTTTGCATTGATTGGGGGAGTAATGGGTGCTTCCTCTATGCTAGCTGGGTTTTTTCATCTCCGAAAATGGACTAGTCACAGTTTGGCTAGTGCTGCTTCTTCAGCTATAATCTCTTGGGCCATTACTGCTCTTGCTTTTGGGTACTCCTCTTACTACTTCCAATCCGTATTTAAGTTAAAACCAAACAAACAAATTAAAACGGAGAGTTTATTTAGATAAATAATCTTCCTAATAAATGTTTTTGTTGAGGATTGGGAGATTTTTTTGCAAACAGATTATATGACCATAATTAATTAGAGGACTCCGTCCGTCGCTGATTAATGTGTTTGATCAACTGATGATGCAGTCTTGTTTGCAAGCAGATAATAATGGGAGGTCACCGAGGAAAACGCCTGGTAATCGTCTCTGTCAACCTTCATTGATTTCTACTTCAACCATTTCATATTTAGCTACAAAAATTATATTCGACTTCATTTCCTACTACTTTTGTAAAATGGACAGCAAACTTTGGAAGCGTTGATCACCATAGCTATGGTGAGTCAATTACTCTATATACTACTGTTGCACGCTGGGATTTTTCGCAGCAGGTATGGCCCTGTTTATGGTTCCTATGGACCTCAGCACTAGCTCGCTCAACTCAAGTCTCCCTTGGTCCAGCTCTGAAATTGCTCCTCCATGATTAAAATGCCAAAATTGTTTACACCAGTTAAATACATCCAGCACCGTTGTGGATTGCTTAGAATGTTACTATTATGCAGATTAAACTCAATCTTGTACAGTAAAGATACTTTAGCATCTCAAGTGTTTTTGCTTCAATGTAGTGGTTTAAAAGACCTACATCTCACTCTAATTTTCATCGACTGTCACAGTAAGAAATAGCTGTACATGAAATCTGGGTTCATGGGGAATTCGGAACATTTGGTGAAAGGGTTATAATTATTGTATTGAAATGTTAGGTTTACTAGAGTTCATAAACCAGTGTGTTGTGTGCGGGAGAAGGGTGCTACTGGCACTGGAATTCCAATATAAGCAACAATGAAGAAGGCAGAATTAGGCTATTCACAATATGGTACCAGTAGATAGATAAACAGAAGCAGATAGTACTAACTAAGTTCCCAGAAGGGTACCCGTAATCGCCAACCCAACCAGAAAAAGAAAATTCAGGATTTTCCACCTCAATAATAATACAAAAGTACAACCACCTCATACAACAGTGACGACGCTGAATCAGATACCTACCTGAATTCAGACTTAAAAATGACACTTTTAAAGTGACTACTCAGACTCAAATGTCTGCCACTCTACAGTCGCCAAAGTATGGCGGCCACCACAAGCGACAAGTTTAGCGCACCAACGCTCTCCTTCTGTGCTGCTGACATCACTTGGAGGCGGAATATTTATTGGAACTTCCGATGGATGACCAGTTGTCGACTTTCTACCATATCCTAGTCGTCCATGGTCTCCCCGCCCAAACTGCCACATTACAAATAGCCAATCAGCTGTTATTTTTATCTCCAAGTACAGTAATACAGAATAATTATCGATGATCGTAGTTAGTCTACCATTACACCAAACGCCTGTATATCCAATCAGTTTATCTAACTTTTAAAATGTCACTGTAATAATTTTCCAATATACTTCTCCCTTGGAGATGGATCATGGATGTTACAAAATTGAAATATGAGGTGTTGTCTACAAATGTTTAACCGTGGTTCAACACACTCACATTTCAATTTTATCCAAAAGCTTAAAAAGGGATCGCGGATTGCCCACAAGAATATTATTCTTGCTATAACAAATAGGCTTAGAGAGTTTCGGACAAGACAATTACATGTTTTCGTTGAAGATTATAAACAAGTAAAAATGGGCTTTAACATGAGGCTAACTTATGCAAACTTGAAGGATTAGAAGGAAAACAGTGTCTGGTACTCACAGAAAACATTCGACCATCATGCGTTAATGCAACAGAGTGTGTTCCCCCACATGAAACCTGCATCATTAGAAAGAGAACTCACCTCCAGAAACTATAGAGAGAAGGGTGGATAAGATCATATATATTAAAACAAAATTCTTATCACAAGCATGAGCATTCACAATCAGATTACTCTAGTTCCACTCTCTATTATGAACCAACAAGCACAGATAAATGTTGCATCTCGGAATCAGACACCAATTGGTCCCACAAGCAACCAACTTTTAGAACATTCCATTTTGGTTTCCTGCAGTCTTTTATTTTTAAGGCACGCATTTCTTTGGTCAGTTGGCCGTGCCCATCGGTTTGGTCACAAGTGTCCTATTAAATGGATACTAAGTATGCCCAAAAATTGACGAGACAGTTAGCTAAAAAAGTCTTTCCTTTATTTCATCCTTTAAAGTTTGGCCGTGTTTCTCATTTGCATTTCTTCGACAGTTATTAATATTTTTTTTGATAACCGAGAAATCCGTCTGTGACCCGCCCTTTGGACCAATCACAGCCTTCTAAACTCGGTGGATAATGGGCCCGCCCCTCTACCCTTCTCCACTTAAATACCGGGCTTCGCTTTGCATGATGTGGGGCTTGAACCTGCGACCTAAGCCACAAATCCTCCACCTTTTGCCACTTGAGCTAGGCCTTGGGGGCACGACAGTTATTAATATTCCTTGCAATAATTTCAAAGCAGTTTAAACTACACGTAATTCTGTATAAACTAGCTTCGTTTTAATTCAGAAACTTCTGAGACTTCCTGCCATATTTGTGCCAATTAGATGATGAGTAATATTTCAGTCTCAAATAAGATTCTGGCAAAGGCAGCCCTCTTATTCAGTCTAAAATAAAGTTAATATGAAAAGAAAGAAAAAACAAATCAGTCCAAAAATAATGGACACATGTGTAGTTCTCATTTTTCCTGGACATACAAGTTATATTCCATGGCTTTGCACTTCCATCAGCTATACAAAGAGTGTGGACGAAGCACAGGACCGTGACTTCCATAGTGATGAGGAGAAAACAGACCCACTGATAATGAAGGATACAAACAACTCACCTGAACAATGTTCTCCCCAGCTAAAAGTTGAACCTTTTGCGGCACCATTTTACTACTCTTGTCATCCCCAAATCCAAGTCTACCATGTTCCCCTCTTCCCCAGCCATAAACCTGCAGTAAGCAGAGTTAACACACAGTTGACAGAGGTTGTTGACTATAGAGGATCATGAGAATATGATTTTGTATTGAGGTTCTTCCAAGGCACAAGATAGCAAACTGGGAGAATGTGTAGCCAGGTCTGCACAGTGATCTAGGTGAACTCCTCCCATAAGCAATCTTTCCGACATGATGGCCATGAGAAAGTACAAAGCAAAAGTACAGAACTAAAGTTTGACAACTTATCTGCCAAATAGACCTCATATTGGACCTTCTTGCTAACCAAGTACTATTATTATATATTCCATCATTTGGCAGATAATAAATAACAAAACAGAACAATTTTAAAGAAAGCAGGCTTTAATATTTCACATCTCAAGAGCTTTGGAGTGAAGCCAGCCTTTCACATCGGAACCCGCCATACAACCCAATGCTCAATATCAAATTTTCAAGTGCAAAAAGAGTGTCATGTATTGTGGAGGAGATTGTTATTTGTTAGAATACTGACAACCTCCTTTGCAATCCAAGAAAGTATCACTTGTGAGCATGAGAGAAAAAGCTGATGTATTCTACTCAACAAAGCATATTGCCTACTATATGCAACTTCACAGAACTATATTATTAGTATGTAAAAAGATTTATAAAGGGGGGAGAAAAGCACCATCATCAAAGTATTTTCACTTTGGATTGACGCAAACCAGAAAAAAAGGGATCAGGAGATCTTTTGATCAGATACCATAACAATGAGTCAGATGCAAAACGTTCAGAGGAGGTGTATTTTATCTTGAAGGAACATATATACTGATTGCTGTTAAAAAAGTACATGAGACACAAAGCAAAAAATATTATGCAGAACTAACATAAAACATTAAAACACAAGATATACCTCTCCCTCATTTGTCAAAGCTGCAGAATGCCATCCTCCAGCAGCGATATCAACCTGGACATGAAAATAGAAATATCTAACATACTTCTTTTATTAATACATCTTATATACTCATTATAACTCTTTGGCCCATTTCTGTTCTAAAATCAATAGAATTGGTAGGGGCTTGTATTTTTCAGGCAGTAAGTTTGTTGGTAAGGTAATATATCCAAAGAAACTGGACTGAACAACTGGTCCCTTAACATGATGAACAATTTAATGTTCAACACACATAAATATTTCTTGAGAAAATGAAGAGAAATATAAGGAGAAGAAGAAGTTGGACCAAAATGATCAAGAACAAATCATCTTACAAACAAAATCATAATCAAAATGACAAGAACAGATTGATACAAACCAAAGTGAGATCAGATAGCCCTTGAATGGCAATGGGTTGTGATCTTGGCTGGGTATCCCCAGTTCCAAGTTGCCCATACTCATTATTACCCCATGCCATTAGAACTCCATCATCAAGAAGAGCCAAGTTATGAAAGGCCCCTACTGCAATCAACCTCACACTTGCAAGACCTTGTACACGGACAGGAGTAGAAATTTGCTTTCTGCAAGGTTTAGTGCAGCACTGATGAAATTCTTAAACAAGAATATAACTTATTATACATATCATGGTTACTAGAGACCAATGGTTAGAATAGAGCATACATGTCACCAGGAGGCCATGGTTGACCCCATGTCCATACTTGTCCTTCCCTTGTAAGAACAACAGAGTGTGTACCACCAGCAGCTACCTGTTATGTAAAGAAATTAGGAGTTAATTGGCAAAGAAGGCAACACATTGAACATTGCTGCATATAATATAAATATCAGGAGGGAAAAAGCAGTTAATAGGCCTGTATCTCCATTATTCAGTGAGCATTTATCAGGATACAGAACCAAAAGCAACAAGGAAAAGTCTTTGCAGAATCATCAACCAACAAAACAAAGAAAGGAACTCCACGCGTCCAGCTCCTCAAATGAAATACATCAACAGTACGAGAATGTCACCTGACGAACAGAAAGCTTAGAGGCACAACGCTTAGGGATCACAATATCTCTCTTTACGGGCCTTCCAGTGTCATCTTTCCTTTCTGGTTCTTCCCCACATTGTCCGTACTCATTACCACCTGCAAGGATCATGAACTTGAAAAAATAAATAACTGCTCCAAACCACCAGAATCCAGTATTTTGAACACTAAACTATTAAAGCAGACTGCTAAACTAGAGGCAAAATGTGTATGGAGGATAGCTTGATGGCGAGCCCTTGTTGTCTTAACCTACTAAAGCAGATTACCACAAAGTTCAAAGATGTTAACTTAGTGAATATAATCTACCAAAGCTTAAAAAAAATGAAACTTATCCTTTCTTTTTTGTATTCTTTGTTGTAAAAAAAAAAAGTCATGCAAACTGATAAATTTGGAATACAATAATACTTTTGTAACCCTCTTGTTCTAGAGATAAAATGGTACTGATAAGGATAAAGATGAAATAAAGCAAAGGCATACCCCAAGCATAAGCCTTGCCTTGATCATCTACAGCCAAACAATGCCAGCCACCAATTGCCGCCTGCAATCAGAGAAATCCAATAAAACCTACACCAATAA